CAACGGCTCCAAGGATCTCAAAAGGTAGGGAAAAAAAAAAAAAGTAGTACAATTCATCTCCCCCAGGTTTAGATGTTTATGAAGATGTTTCACATAAGCTAATAACCCAGGCTCCCTGTATCTGCAGAATGAATCCAGCTGGTTTACCCCTGCTATGTATCCACTTGAGGATAAGAACCACCAAGTTCCAGAGCTGCTTATTCTTCTCCAGCAACAATAAAGGCTGCTAAAGAACTCTTTCACACAGAAGCATCTTTATTAGAGGCATAAACCCATAAATCTTTGGACATACGAATGCCACTCAGGACATTAAAGCCTTAGTTTGGAAAAGAGACCAGACCCAGGATTACTGAACCAGTTGAATTCACTGAAAAACAGAACCACAAGACCATCTCTAGCCCCCAAACTGCACTTTCAATCATGCAAACATCTGGGCAGTGAATCACAGAAGGTGCACTGACAGATTCTGGACACCTCAACTCACATAGGGGGACATTTATCCCTCTGGACCCATAGCAGGATTCTGTAGTGTCATACGGATGGCTACTATGGCCAAGAATATAAGCGAGGCACAGATACACCAAAAGGTCTGCTGCAACTGCGCTGGAGACAAACACCCAAGACTTGTCCAGTGTTTCAAGAGAAGAATAAAATAAATACACCCCTGCAGAGGGCTGCTTCCAGTATTAGAAACCGTATGATTTAAGATATTTTTGCTGTTAGACTGAACAAGAACTTTAATAAAAGCATGCTATCTGTTCCCCTCTGAACAGCTCCAGACAGTTGCACAATTTCAGTATGCATATAGAAGTATCCCCAGCTGAGGTATTTCTCAAAATAGCTCCTGAAGACAGTTTAACATATATTTAATGCACACAAATAATTATTGCTATACACAGATCTGGGTAAGATTTAAGTTACGGCATAGCCACCCTGGAAACTACATCATTCCATATTTTTGGCTTTTGCAGAAAAAAGTCAAATTAATATTGCAAGTACTACCAACTGAAAATAAAAATTAAAAACAAACAAACAAAAAAAAAATCAGTGAATGCAAGCACTAATCTTTTATGGATGATGAGCCTGGCTGCATGAGGCGTTTCTCTCAAAAAGCGTATTGAAATACAGCAAGAAGGAACCACACATCTCAAACTGACAGCTGTCAAATCAAATAGCTACATCTTCTCCAAAACCACAAATCACAGATGCTTAGATTCCCAGTAAAGCACTCAACAGACATACAATAAAACGGACACCTACACAAGAAGCATCTGGGAAAGCACCACTTACTGAGAACACAGGGAAGAAAACCAAAAAGAATCATCTGGGATTCTTCCTCTAAAAATGTATTGCAAAACAAACTCAGCTGGAAGACAACAGTGTCAAGACGACATAAAAAAACTTGAATCTTACTGAAAAGTGAGCTAAACCAAACATGTTTCTGTGGATTCTCCCAGTTAATTGAAAATATTTGTCTCTGCCACAAATGGGAAGGGAGTATTCTAAACAGCTTGTGGTAGGGGGGAGATCAAAAATGAGGTTAACCATACCTACATAGCTTTTCCAGAACTGCATCCACTAAAAACATCAGTTTGGAACAAACGTCAGGTGCCCGTTGCAACAGAGCTTGAAAAGTTACGTTTGAAAAGAAGCATGACCTCATCTGAGAAGGCTTTTCTCTTCTGAAAGGGTCTGCTACGGGGAAAACCATGCACGTAAACATCAACTGCGCTGACAGACACACAGGGGGAACCCACATTTCCAAGGAAGTGTGGTACCACAATGACTGCTTCACAACTTCTACTTAGATCTTGCCTCGTGCAATCACACCTCAGTATGAAAGCAAAGCTAGGTGCTCTCTCGCCAGCTTAAAAAGACAAAAAATACCCCAACAGAGAATACAGAGTTTTCAAACCTAATAAAAATGCAAACTTTTCACGGAAATGCCTCCAGAAAATGGCACTGCTTTTGACAGCTTCACACGAATGCTTCTGAGCCAAGGCAAAATATTTTTGATACAGCAGTTTCCCTAGCACAAAGATTTTTGTATTCAACTGTATTTGTTCTTATCTTCCATTTGCAAAACCAACCTACACCAGTTATATTATTTTTTCTGAAGGATCTGCAGAATGTAGCTGTTCATAACTGAAATATGATCATCACTAGCTAAATAAAAAGCCTTCAAATTCCACCCTTTCTTGACTTATGTCAAATCCCTCCTTCATTTCAGTAGCTTTATGTGAAAGTTGACTTCTGTAGACAGACATGTCTGTAACAGGATTAGGCCTTCTATTGCTTAAAAAAGGTCAGCACTCGACTCTTTGAAAGATCATCCTGGTAAAAGCATTTCAAATAAATAAAAATGGATGTTGGCAACTGCCACTTATTTTGGTTTTCCAAATAAATGTCTACTGCTCTAAAAGAAAAGCCCTATTCTTCATTAGAGATAACGATGCTTCCACTCTCAATCAACCCTGAATTTTGTTTCAACAGCCAAATCTAAGCAGGGAGGATTAAGATTTAACCTTGAAAAGAGTCACACGCAACACTGTTAACTATACTGCAATATCTAAAAAGCATTCCTTAACTTGGACACCCTTAGTGCAAGGTGAGTTACTGCCACAGGATGATGTAGCTCCTTAGTCACTCTGTGTGCAAGTGATCCAGACCCATATCACTCCTGTTCTACGAGACAGATGGACCCATAATCATCTGTGATTATAGCAGTATTTTGCATTTGACAAAACAGCATTAGAGAAATTGTTATAGAAACTCAAAATCTGTTATAATGGGGCTTCTGTGAACTGTAGAGAGAAAATACAAAACAAAAGTATTCAAAGCAGTCAGGAAGACATTACCTTGAAGAGTAACTCAAAAAACTTTTGATTAGAAATTTGCCTGTGGCTTTCTGAATTGTTTGCATCAATACCACAGGCTGCATCTTGTCACCTGCACAAATACCGTCTTTGGAAGTGTTCCATCAATAACAAAACCCACCACAGACCAACTGCTAAATGAATTGGACTTCACTTAGCTTCAATATAGCTTACCAATAGGCTCGCTCCAGACTGGAATAAGTTGTAAGGATAGAGAATGCGCTCATAATGCGCGCGGATGTGCGAACCCACGGCTTTGCCAGGAGCAAATCCCATCCTAGTGGCTATTTTGGTCCATTTTCTCTCCTTGCAAACTACATCAAATCCTCCTTCTTCTGCAACTAGCTAAAAAGCAAAAACAAAATGATCATATATTTAATACTAAAATTATCAGCATTTAAGGAAAGTAATGGTAGTTTAAAAGGCAAGACCACAATTGCTATTTTAAACGGGAAAAATATAGATTTAAAAAAAAACACAAAACATGAAAGTTGTTTAAACTCTGTAACTGGAACATATAACCTATTCAGGAATTGTAAACTTGTTGATTACTTCACAAATGAGTCAGCACCTGCATTAGATAACCAAACAGTAGTTCAGCCTACTTTTGAGAATTTGTCTAGCTACAATTTATCACGCCTTCACTTTGTATTCCAAGATGACTTCCTAGCACAGGATGACCAGTTCTTCTCACTGGAACAACTACTGTGAAACAGACTCAAAAGCAACCAAATCAAAACTACCCTAAACATAAAGAAAACAGAGAACATATCCAGAGGGTCAGTGCATACCATCCCTTACTATCAGAGTAGATAAACTTCTCCAGAAGTTTAACAAGCTTCATCCTAAAAGTAATTTGAATTTTTTTTCTCCCATATTGCTAACGGAAAAGTGATTTTCTCACTGCTGCATTGTTCAGAAGCTTTCTCCAGGTTAAGCCTACATTTATTCTTGACCGATTTGTATCCAAGTTCATAAAGAAGAGCTAGAAATTTAGTTTCACCTCCTACCTCAAATGAAAACTCCCACAATATTACATTTTTTACTATTTTGTCACATTAACTACGTCAGCTTAAACTATATAGTACTTTTTTCAGCTTAGATATAACGCAAAATCTCCCTTGAGCAACTGTGATAACATCCCAGAAACTGAGATAACACAACACCTTTTGTTTCTCCCTTGTAACACTCTTACCTTATTAAGCTGAAATAAATCTAAGATCTTCCTTTCCACATGTGGAATTTTCAGCGTACATCCTTGAAGCTCCCAAAACTTTGCAATCTGGTCCAGAAAATTCAGCTTTACACGAGTTTGGGCCTGAAACAAACAAAACCACTAAATGCAGATCAAGCTTTTGTATTCTGGTGTTCACAATGCTGCAGACGCAGCTGCCTGCCTGGCTTTTCCCTCTGCAAGTGTAACTTTGCTGTTTTCCCCCTTGTTACAGGGGGGCGGGGGGAGAAATCCAAAGATACCATCAGTCTTTCCCCAAGTCACTTTTTAACTTTCACTGCATTCAGAAAACCAGTCTGTGATTCTACGAACAGACAAGCAATGAGTTATTACTGCTAAAACCTACATAAACTAGCTGTACTGCTATATTTTATTGAATTTATTATATTCATAAATTTAATAGTTTATTACAGTTTGGTTTACTTGTAGCAAACCAAAAATAAATCAATATTTATGGCTTATTACAAAAAAAAAATAAAAAGGAGTTTCTGTTGTGCCTTTTCACTCTCAACTGTATCTGATTCATTCTTAGGGATACAAACCCATGAGGGCAGGGAAAGCCAACTCGTCTGTTTACACAGAAATTCACAGAGTGAGATAATTGGACTGTTGCTACGTTAAAGAGTAGTAGCTTAGACTTAAATTTTGACACGTTTTATTTTCACCACACTTTCTATTCTTAAGATAAAAAAAGGCCATGTCTGTACAGACTAGCCTGTTCTTAAACTCCAGAGCGCTCTGAACCAGCTTGCATCCACACAAATCTCTCTCTCAGCATCCAAGGCCAGCGCTTGAGCCCTTACCCTGGCACTTCACTTAACCACATCAAGCCTTTAACAAGCAAGCATCATAAAGAAAAAAAAATCAGGCAGGCAAAGAGTCACTGTCATTCCAATTTGTACCAGTAGCAAGCTAACAGGACTCCTCATCACTCCCTTCTGCTAGGCTGAATGAAAGCACTGAATGAAAGTGCTTGTGAACAGCAAATTTCCACCAACGGAATCCAGATTTTGTAATTGTTTCTTACAAATGGCTTGTTATTTTTACAGTACTCTAAATTTTTCATCTCTTCTACTTTTAAAAGATGCTGTATATGTGCAAAACGCAGGCACGAATCTATAGCACTTGTAAACTTGAGTTTAACCACTTACATGCACCTCTGTACAAAAAAGGCCTGAATTATGTTCCTCTGACGAGCACTAACTTCACTTTTTATGCTTGGCACGTTTTTAACCAGATTCTGAAACAGATGAATTTCTGTGCTAATTAAAAACTGAAGTTTAGAGGTCCTGAGTGCTGTCAGATCAGTCACCTCATGGTCAATCCACTGGAAAATACCACCTCTCAAAAAAAATACTTAACCATTCTGGAGCAGAAGCAATGTTCAACTTCACAATTTACCTCCAGTTCATTGAGCCTCTGGATCCTTGGTGTAAAGTGAAGCTTATCGACATCACATGCAAATGGAGGCTGCCAGTCCTGAAAAAACGAGAGATTCATCAAAAGACCAGGAAAATGAAGGAACTTCTCCATGTGACAGTCAAAAGCATGGAAGAGGTCTTGATGGCTTCCAAAGGGTCCTCAGCACCGATGTGTACAGCATGTGCCCCCTCCCCACCGGCAAGGGCTGTCAGCCATCACACCCCCCTATGCCCCCGGCTGTGCCGAGGCCTACTTCTACTTCCAAATTACCTCCCGCTGAACAAGCCTGGAAAGCAGCAGAATGACATATGCTGACTGAGCTTCATTGCCTACCCCTTAAAATATTTCATGGTGCCTTTAAAACAGACAGATAATGAAACCACACAATAAAGTACATTTTGGAACTCAGGACCTGCCCTCAAAGATAAGCCAGCAGTTGCATGCCGTGTCAGTCCATCTTCCCCTACCGATGCTGGGCAGCTAGAGGTGCAGCACAGGCCATCTGCCCCAGCCTCATGACCACCCAGGCTTGTTGCCAACGGGAGACGTACAACAGCCGAGGCTGTGTCTGCTGGACAGCCAGAGGAGAAATCCTTGGGAAGTGCTGCCGCCGAGCAAGGCAAACCCCGCCAGTGCTTTAAACGGGAGTAACAGAAACTCAGTCACAACCCTGAGATAGGACGTTGCTTATCTTAACGTTCAGTATTGCTACCACACGGAACACAGAGCAAAGTGAAGTTGCATAAACTCTGACCCAAACTGCCTTAATCAGGACGGCTAACATTCGACAGCAGACTCTGAATGCTCACAAAGGACAAACGCAGCAGCTAGCGCTCTCTGAAACAAACAGCAGTTGCACTAAAAAGCAGAAATAAAAGCTTCTTTCCTTAATTCCTCGTCTACAAACATTCAGGAACAGCTGGAATATGACCAATTAAAAAAAAAGATTATTATTACTTTGACAAAATACCTGCAACTAGTAGTGTTATTCATAAATACAACTATAAAGCAATTTTATCTTTTAGATCTCTGACATCTATCACGTGCAGTTGGTTTGGCAACCCACAGCTTTGCTAAACCAAATTAGATTTGATTTAAACCTGACAGTAATTTATTACATATAAAGCTATCATACTATCGCTAATTACAGAACGAACATAATGTGCATGAGAGCTACAGACACTGGAATAAGACAAGAGCTTTCTACCGGGGAAAAAGAACAATGTTTACTCAACACCTGAACACTAAGGCAACTGAAGTACAACCAGCACCATAAGCAGAATATTTGTTGTTTTAGCAGACACACTTAATATGAAAATTGGTGCCTAAACCAATCATCAAGGATTGCAGAGCAATTCTCTCACGTACAAACACCCAGGCTCAATTCTATATTGTGACAACCCCATCCTGTCACTGAAGCAAGCCCATGGCAGAATCGGGTATTTTCAGGCATGCAAGAGTCATTGAGAGCATGGAAAACCTGAACAGCAAAGAGGGATGCCAATCCACACATTTTACCTCTAAAGTTTTCTGATCCTGCAAGGCAGTTTCAGCACATCAAAACTTGGCGAAGTTGAAATTTAAATATGAACTGCAAGTTAGATGACAACAGGGGGATCAAGATGACAAATTATAAAGAGGATGGTCAATCCTCAACCAGCAGGACATGCTTCTCAATCATTCCTGTTCTTTTAACCACAGGACTAAGAGTGGTGTCCATGATGTTCTAAGCAACCAAGTAAAATTAACCCTACATTTTTTGTTTGCCAAATGTAACGAAAATAGTAAGTCTAACGAAGAAAATGCTTGATGTTCTTTTGTAGTTTTATCTGATTAATCATTTGTGGCCCCAAACCGTACCATAAGAAATGGGACTGGGACAAGATCTGAAGTGGTGTACTTCAGCATGACAAATCTGACTTTTCAAGCTGAACCAATTGGTTACATCATTAGTCACAAGCCTGGAGTTTGGTCTGCGCATGAAGAGAGACAGAAGACAGGCAACCAAACCAGGAGAGAACACAGCGTGGCAATGACACACAACAGCCTTGGGACACACTGGGGACATTGCTGAAGGGAGAACTGTAAGATCCTAAGCACTTTACTAAAAAAGTAAATTAAAACAAAGAGATGTGTGACTGCTTAGCTAATTAATGACCAAAGGCTGTCTCATGGTCCCCATGGTGGGCCACGCATTATTCTAATCGAGGATCCTCTAATAAGGATCAGCAGAGGACAAGAAACAGGAATAAAAAGAACAGGAATTCAGCTCACACAGACAATGACACTTCCACTGACAGTGTCACCGAGGCTGACACTGGGCCGCAGGGCCATGGCTTGCAGACCAATATAGTGAAGCCAAAGAAGGGAGAGGGAAAATGCAGGAGACTTCTGCTTGAGCCACACTTCCCTGGAACAGGGTCTGCTGCTCTGGGGAAAAGCCCAGAGGAAAGCCTGCATGTCACTGGGCACAACAGGAGGAACAGGATTTGCTCCTACACGTTCCCGCTCACGCTCAGTCTTAAAGAAATAAAGGGTCCCCAGGGCAGATACAGACTTAGGACCCAGTGCTAGAAAGGGGCCTGCCTTTAGAGAGGACAGAAGCAAGCTTGTCCCCTCCGCGTAGAAAGTATGCTGGTTTTAGTTGGGAGAGTTAGTTCTCCCCACAGTACCTAGTATGAGGCTGCGTTTTGGATTTGTGTGAGAAGAATATTGATAATACTAATGTCTTTGGCTGTTGCTAAGCAATGTCTATACCAAGTCAAGGGCTTTTTCGGTTTCTGATACCACACCTGTGTTCCCAACTTCTCTACAAGAAGCTGGGAGGGGACACAGTCAGTACAGCTGACCCAAACTTTTAAATTTCATGCCATCAAGCATCATGCCTGGTATATAAGTTGGGGGAGTTGGCCAGGAGGGAAACCGCTACTCGGAGACTGGCTGAGCATTGGTTGGCTGGTGGTGAGCAGTTCTATCGTTTTGTTTTCCTTCCCTTTTTCCTTTTAATTACATATTATTATCAGTAGTAGCAGAAGTATTTTCATTACATAGTATCAGTATCATTATTTTATTTCACTTACTTCCAATTATTAACTGTTCTTACCTCAACCACCAAGTTCTCTTATGTTTTACCCCTGATTCTCTTCCTGCATCCCACTGGGTGAGGGGGAAGACGAGTGAGAAGCTATGTGGTACTTAGTTGCTGCCTGGGGCTAAACCACAACAGCAAGCAAATGAAGTTTATGTGCATTACCTTACAGAAAACATCATTCATAACATGGTGTACCGAAACATACTACTCTAGAACTAGCTAATTAGCTCCACATATCTCCTACTTATTACTGACTGGCATACATTCTTCTTTTTGGCCAAGACACTTGCTCTAGCAAAGCACTAGTTAGCTAGTTCATTCGAGAAAGGAACATGACTCCAGACAACACCAGCTTCCACAACAGGTCTTTTCTGTACCTCGCAGTTTTTAAGTTTAATGACACTGAATGAAGACTATACAACACCAGAACACTTTGGTGCTACGTCAGCTGTTTTACAAAGAGAAGCTTTGGAAACTCGATCTATTCAATACAGGATTTTCAGCAGACAGCTTTTTAGTCTATCAGGCTGCTGGGTCCATCAACTAGAAACAAAAATTTAACAGCCTTAAAAGTGTTCAGCTTTTAGCAAGGAGAAAGTAATTGCAAGAACTTCTGTTGAAATGTGGTAAATTGGCTTAAGGAGAGGTAACACTGGATTTACTCTGGCTTTTGACATTTTTAAGCAGGCAGAGCCATGGGAAATGCATGCTATATATTACATAATAGGTCATATTAGTTCATTATAAAAAGACTCCTGGCTTTAGAAACACACCACTGCACATCCCATTTCTCACAAACTTTTTGGTATGACATTAGACCCAGTTAGATATGCAGCTATTCACCACTTGGAGAAATTACAGCAGGTGTCGTAAACAAGCACCCTGACTGTCACTGATGCATTTTAAAGCCACAAACAGTTGATTTTGGAGCATCTGAACGACTCAAAGTTGATATAACCAATTAGAATAATACTGTCTTCAGTATTATTCTGTTACCCAAGTTCCTCAATTCCTAAACAAGATGCTTTCTTTAGGCAGTGCGAGAAGCCTGCACACATTCTGAAGCACAGCTTGGGAAGACGAACGCGGTGTTCGTTAAAGAACAGAGAATTTGGAAGCAGTGCCTTCCCGGCCCGCGGGAGGGCAGCGGCCGCACGAGAGGGAGCTGGCGGGGCGCGGATGCGCACGCTCCGCGGGTGAGCCCCGCCGGGCGCAGCAACCCAGCTCCGCGGCCCCTCCCCGGGGTGAACCGGGCACACCAGCCCTTTCCACCCACTGTGCAACTGCACGGTCCGCAGGAGCAGCTGGTCTGGATTTCTCCCCCACCCCCCACTTTTTTCCACAAAAAACTTTAATATTATATTTCAGCGTCTTTGAATTTCAGTTTCTTTCAGCAAGCAGGCTAAGTGCTGAGATCAAGGATACGCAAACCGCAAGGAGACCTGAACTTCCTAAAAATCAGTTTTTACATCACCCAGACTCTTCGTCTGAAATGCTTTCTGTTGTCCACACGATTGTTAAAAGCCTGCAAGAGACATGCAAAATCACTTGCCTACGTTAGCGTGCGCTTTTTAACCAGACCCAGCAGAATCACAGGATGGTTTGGGTTGGAAGGGACCTTAAAGATCATCTAGTTCCAACCCCCCTGCCATGGGCAGGGACACCTTCCACTAGACCAGGTTGCTCCAAGCCTCGTCCAGCCTGACCTTGGACACTTCCAGGGATGGGGCAAACCCATGCAAAAAACAAGACCAACATCAGCATTTCAAACTTTGCTACAAACTTTACAGACAAATCTAGCTGTGCAGAAGACATACTCTAAGAATCACATTCATATTTGAAGTAGTAATGCAAACTATAAATGGTCAGGAGAACTATTTCTATATTCCTCCTTCCAGATTCATTCTTACAGGGGTGGCAGGCTTCATATAATTCCAGCTGGTAAACCTTGCACCTCATGCAAACTCAGGCTCTAATTAAAATTTAACCACCCCCTCGTATTCAAGTGAACAAAAAACTACCAGTCACTGGCAAGCTGTTCTACAAGTTAGACTGCTTCAACTATTCTTTTCCTCTTATCCCAGTCTCATTTTTAACCAAATATCTTGTTTGCTTACTGTCCAAGAAGCTATTTGTTAATGCTTCGTGGAATCAATGTTTAAAGACATTTTTCAATAAACAAGCATCTCTCCTCTTCTCTTTACAGGACCATCTTTCCAGCCCCACAAATAAACATTTTACTCAGGCTTTTCTACCCGAAATCTCTCCTTTTTTTTCCAATAGCTTTTGATTAACTGCAAGTAGTTGCAATCTCCCCAATGTCAGACACAAAAAAAAGATACGTCACTTTCATTATTTTGCTAGACAGCATCCCATAGTAAGATCCAAAAGAATATCTTAGCAATTCTCACCAGAGAAACAGATACTCGTTCAGTTAACTATAGCAACTCACTGCTTCCCAGGATGCCCACCCTGCGAGCGTGACCTACATTTCTTTGTTCCCAGATCTATGATCTTGCCTTTGCAAAGGTGTTAGATGATTGCTGCCTCCAAGAGGGAGGGAGCAGACCTGGGGACTCAGGCGGTCCCTTTTAGTCTCACAGGTTTATGACTACATAAAAAACACACTCAAAAGAAACTCAGATGGCAGAATCTATGCAAAACTAATGTGCACCACCATTTATCGCCCCAGCAGTGTCAGTGGGTCATCCACAAAGCTTCCTTTTGATCGGGCACTAATCCCCCTCTGACCCTCTTAAAAGGCTAACATTAGTTGGTAACTCCAATCATCAGCTAACCTAGTTTGTGGTGACACAGTCCTTCCTTGGTCATTTTGAGCGTAGGTGATTTTCCATCAAAAACACTGAATTCCTCCTTGCTCAGAAGGGACCCTGGCTGCAGAAACACACCTTACACACAGAACTCTTCAGTAATATAAGCTCGGTGAAGTATTTCTCAATTGAGACAAAGTTGGGCTCTGTTACGCACTGCAGACTAGCAAAGGACAAAACAACCACAAATCCTGCCCATCTGAGAACCACAACTAAAGATGAGCTTACAGTGGGAATCACTTCTCTAGATCCTAGTGTTTCTGTGCCAGCTCCAGTCGTGGAAAGAAATAAAAGATCAGGTAAACTGGAGAAGATTCTCAAACATCAGAGCTGGCTGTTCCTTGAGACTGAAAGGAAGAGGATGGAAACGATAGCAGGGTTTGAACATCAACACAAAATAGGTGGCAGGGTTTACACAGAGGAAATACCAGTCTTCTCTCCATGGAGGCGACTGCACGCAAGGAACAGACACAAGGCTCTGGCAGCACCAGGCGAGAACAGGCAACGTACCAGCAGCACAGCACTAACAGCTGGAGGTCCATGGGGCGTCGGGGTCAGTGCACCGGCAGCAAACCCAAGATCCCTGATTCACTTCAGAGGTGCTGACCTAGACCTTGAAGTAGAGCATCCATCCATACTGGGGATGGATTCAGACTCAGCTGTCAGCATCCAAGGGCACCAGGCCCCAGGCCACGCTACGTTGTAAACGGACCTTTGGTCCGGTCCCGCAGTACGTTCCCAGAGGATGTCCAACTGGCGAGCAGCACGGACAGTGCAGACTACTCACATCACAGCCCTTTGGAGACAGTCTGTGCCCTCTTTAGATCTGTAACCATCAGCTTCAAAACCTAGATTTTAACCCAAACGTATCTTGGATTAAGAGAAGATCTGAATGTAGGAGCTACCTCTGCCTGAGGGTTCCCCTGCAGCGTCCAATGCTGCGACAGCAACCGCCTGCTACCCCCACTATTGACAACACTCTCCCTCCAAGCTGCTCGGATGCATTTTCGCTTGTAAAGCACCTACTTCCAGAGAAGGGCATTTTCTTAGACATGTGTAAGAGTGGCAGGTTGTATGATCCCAGAAGTTCCCCCCGGCTTTTAAAAACATTCAACCTGTTCTGCCGAACACAGCGCAGCATTTCCCCCAGCAGTTCCCAGGCATAACCCAGTAATGTGGGCTTGACAGAAAGCACATCCTAATGGATATGCAGGCATAAATAAATTCCATTCACCCACAGCTTTAATTTCAGCTTCTAGCTAATTGACACTGTTTATCTCAAGTTAAAAAAAAAACACAAAAACTCCCCTAACCTGCCACTACTACTGCCCCATATAGAGACTTCTGGACTAAATTGTTTCATCTTAAATTTTCAACAAGCTGAGCAGAGTGTTGAAAACCCCTTGCTGGAA